TCCTTTATATTCATTTTATTCTTTTATCCCCGATCCGACCAAATTGGGTTCCGACCATTTCGGATTACCAATTCAGCTCGTTCCGAAGGTTTTACTTACCGTAAGTCGGTTTCATTCAAGTTTCATGAGGTTCGGGTAGAAAACGGGTCTAGGTAGGTCACGTATAAGGGTCGGTTGCATCGAATTTCGTTCGGTCCGAAAGAACGAACCAAAACGGGGAGACAGGTGTCCAGAACGGACGGTCTGCCCCGTCTGGAACGGACGGTCTAGTGGCTTGGTCCCTTCGGTCTGGCCGAAGATGGAACGAACGTTCCGCGGAAGGTGGAACGGACGTTCTGGGTACAGAACAGACGGTCCATGTCCAGAGCGGACGGTCTGGACTCGTCTTCTTCCCCCGAAACCCTGCGAACCCTAGAACGGACGGTCCATGCCTGGAACGTTCGGTCTAGGCGCACCAGGAACTTCGGGTTTCCAATTTTTGCACCAAACTCAACAAGTTATACATAAAAATGATCCCTAGAACATCAGGAATCCAAATCTAACACCAATTTCATGCAATTTCCACTCAAAGCAATCAAATCTCCATTTTCAATTTGATTATCATTTTTGGGCATAATCCGAAACACTCACTTAGCTCAAATTCGAGCTCGGGGTTTCGTTGGGGATGTTCTGTAGGGTTGATTGCTGTGGTTATTTGTTGATTTCGACCGAAATCGGGACTCCAATCGAAGGTTGAAGTTTCGGACTTTTGAGAGAGTTTGTGGGGGAGTGAGAGGGCGAAGTGAGAGGCGAAGAACGACGGAATGGGCGGACCTAGGGCAGTTCTCGCGTCCCAGAAGAAGCAGGAGGTGGCACACGCCGGAGGGAGGCCGAAATTGCGGCGGTGACTCAGCAGAAAGGGAGGCGGCGCGTGACCTGGCCAAGACCGCCGGAACGGACGGTCTGCTTGTCAGACCGGACGTTCTGGGCCGTTTTCGTCCGTTTTTCTCGCTCGTTTCGGTCCAATTCTTCGGGTCAACTTGGTTAGGGTCTAACTTAATATTTTATGGACATTTTTATGGCTCATATATGTTTTCCTAAAATTTGGTTTGAAAGTCGAATTTACGGGTTATTACAAGCAGAGTTTATAGCCTGTTATGAGGTATCAAACCATGGAGTATGGTTGCGGAACTTTTGTCAAAGGGCTGCAAATAGTCAATAAAGTTGAAAGACCGTTAAAGATATACTGTGACAATAAATCAACAGTAATGTACTCCAACAACAACAGGAGCTCGTCCAAGTCAAAGCACATTGACATTAAGTTCCTAGTTGTAAAAGAGAGAATACAGAGTAACCAAATAATTCTAGAACATATCGGAACAACTTCAATGATTGTGGATCCGTTTACTAAAGATTTACCACCCGGGGTCTTTTTTGAGCATGTGGCTCAAATGGGTGTCGTATCATTTGATGATATGTAGTTTCAGTGGGAGTTGTAACTAAGATTATTCTATGAATAGAAGAATTCTGCAGAAATAAGGTTTATTGGTTACGGGACTCTCAAAGTTAAAGATCTCCATAAAGAAATGGACCAGTTGAAAATCAGGATATGTCCAAACAAGACAAAAGATTTTCATGTTGCATACCTATACATGATCTATGTCGTTGGATAGGGTGGCGTAAAGTGATCTTGGAAGGTTTAGTCGCGCACTAATGCAACGAAAACCGCATTGGTCCTTACGTTACATATTCAATGGACGAGATTGTTAAAGTGTTTACAAAGAACAAGCAATTTTATGAGCTCATTAAAGAAAATCCATATTTACGACATTATAGACATTTAACCAAGTGAGAGATTGTTAGAAATTCTTTAACAGCTATATTTTGGTTTTAATGTCATAATCAATATATGGTATAATTGCTGATTAATATGAATCATTGCAGTAGATTATGACCACTAATTATAGATGGTCTAATATGCAAATACAGAAAAGTATAGGGGTCAAATAATTATGCAGATACCATGAAGTATAATTTCCTAATTCTTTATGGGCGGATTTGAAAATTACATAAACCTATTACTATAAATAGTGGTAGTGGTCCTTAGGCTAAACGGAATGAAATCTGATATGTTGGGTTTTCTGGGATCTCATGAGCGAATCTAATTCCTAAGAGATCGATTCTAGGGTTTGCGCAGCGGATATAAAACAAAATTTTTGATGAAACCCTAGAACCATGCTACTATTGAATCATAGAAACGTTAGAACGCTTACCTCAATCGATCCGGGGCCTGTATCAATTGATCTGTTAGTCCGATCACTCTAGGCAGGAAGAATACCTCGCCCTCTGCACGTATCCACACGTCGGGATGGATTCCAACACCTTGGAACTTGTCTGCTAGGACTAGAGATCTCGATCTCTCTTGTGTGTAAGGTTTTTGGAGGCTTAGGGGTTTATTTTTCTTCCTTTTTTTTTTCTTCTCCTTTTTTTCTTCTTCTTTTTTTTTTCTTCTTCTTTTTCCTTCTTATAAAACCCTAGAAGACATTCTCCTTATATAGACTTTCCAAAAATCCTAATTTGACAAGGAATAGATTACTAGGAATCCTAATCTAATTAGGTTTCCTAAACCTATTAGAATTCTAATCTCATTAGGTTTCCTAGATGTAATAGAATTCTAATCTCATTAGGATTCCTATACATAACAGGACTCCTAATCCCATTAGGATTCCTATTCCAATTAGGAATCTCAATCCAATTAGGATTCCTAATCGGGATAATTTAGCACACGTACTTGTCCATCCCTATTGTATGTGACCCTGTAGGCTCATCCGGAATAGCAGTAAAACACAGAATCTCCATTCCGGTAATACAAGTCATAGACGGTCTCTAGCAAGACACTATGACTACCTATCTCGAATAGAGTTTGTTTGTGATCATACGAAAGCCAGTGATGATTCCGACTGATGATCCTTTTGTATCGCGATATCATATGTCGAACATAAGGCATGGACAAGCCACCTTATCTAATTCGACTGCTTTCTCGTTCACTGAGTTCGACTGTCTGAAATAGACGACGTTCGTCTACAGTGCGGCCACACATTTCTACAGTCTTGCTCACACGAGGGGCCCAACGATATCTCTCTCTTTTACGAGAGGTACAAATCCCGTCTTGACTATCTACAATCCAGTACATGATTCATTTCGTACCTGATACACGCCTTTATAGTCCTCCTGTTACGCAGGACGTTTGACGTAATCAAAGCACGCAACTCCTCATGTTGGATTCTGTAGATATCTCAGGTCTTAGGATCCAATCATGGAATCGTCGTATGAGATTCAAGTCATGACGCTAGTCCATGTGACAATCTCATGCGGGTCAGTCCAGTATTCCGTTCTGCAACGAATACCTATGATTGTGATCGTATCCAATACCTATGATCATCTATGTGATCATCAATCACACATCATACTAGTCTTATTATGTCGTTATTCTCATAATGACACAAGACTAGGGAGTTTAGTATCATTCATAATGATACATGGATTTCATAACAGATCTAGCATGCAGGAACATGTAATGAACAAAATACTCTCATAAAAACACATAGAAAGTATCAATACATCGAATGTATCTGAACAAAGCTCATAATCAGTACATCATAGAGCACTAAACCAACATGATAGCACCCATTTGTTGTCAGAATAACATTTCTTACGTTCTAGACTAGAAGGCTTTCTACCTACTCTGCCATTTGTCAAGCTATCATGGATTCAGGTATGTTCTAATTCCAAGTTAATTCTTTGTGTGATATTGCATGATGATTGGTTCAGAATAAAACATTCCGCAATATGTATAGTATAGTATTGATTGAAAATACTAACATAAATTTGTATTTATATCAAAAGGCAATTGACAATCCATTATCTACTTATTCTCAAAGGTAGTTTTAGAAACCACTAAACCATATATGAACACAACGTGAGGCCAGTGGGGGATATGTTCCGCGTAGTGCTGGCATCTTGTTACCGAACGAGCGATCCAGTCTCGGAAGAGGGTGGCCTTGTCGGAGTAAATTTGTCTATGTAGTCGAAGGTTGTGTTCCCTCCCAACTGTGTACACAATGCTTTACCATAACAGTAATGCGACTAGTCGGCGTGGTGAACCAGTCGACATTCTTTTTAACCATTCGAAGAATCGAAGATGGCGGCCTATTGGTGTAGAGGATATGATTCTGGTAATCTGCATATTGTTCAATTCTAAAGTGATTAAGAGTATAGGCAATCGAAAAATAGATATTCTCAAGAGCAATATTATACAAACAAGGGGGAAGTCCCCAACTTTGTTGGTTGAGAGCATTGTCTTTATAGTTGGAGGTCATAGATTCAATCTTCCAAGATACGAGTTTTCCTCTGAATATGCCAGTTTCGACTGGTTTTTCTATTCCACGTAGTTTGCATGTTATTGCGTGGGAACGATGAGTTCACTATACATCTGAAAGAACGTGGTGATTACTTTCGTTACAAAAAAAACATTATACAAGCAACAATATGAGTTTATAGGGATATCCCATGAAATCAACCGGTCTTTAGTGTGATTACGGTTGAAGATAAAGAGTAGAGCTATAAAAAATATTTCGGTGTTCTGTGTGTTTGAACCAAATAATGTTATGCCAAAGAACGTTGTGGATGGGTCCTTTTGTACATGTAGAGTGTAGTGTAGAAAATTCAGGTATAAATTATATTTTTATTCAATTTTTTTTATTATTTATTTTGTTTTGTAAAAAATATCTATTTAATTTATTTATCAATTTTCAATTAAAATATAATCTAATTTGTAGTAAAAATTACCCAACTATAAATTAGTTTTATGTTCTATCCTTAACTTTTTTATATTCATTCAATTTAAATTTTAAAAAAATTATATCCACCACAAATTCAAGACCTACACGGATGCAATAACAAATTTGGAGGCCCGATGCATAGAGGCCTTTATCGCATAAAGGCCCAGACATAGAAGTTCCTTCCGCTTCCCTCTCGTTCTTCGTCTCCACGACCGCAGGTGAGCCAACCCACCGCTGTGTCTTCACTCAAATCTCTCTCTCTCTCTCTCTCGGAGTTTTCAAGCTTAATCTTCTTAACATTCCGAGGCCGATCAAGAGGTCAGTTTTCCTTCTTTTTGTTTGGGCACTCGTTTTCATTCCTACGTTTTCCCGGGAAAAATTTTGAGGGGAGCGAAAATCGATGGGTAGAAGGAAGAAAAACTGCGTGTGAACCTTTGTTGTTTTTAATTCCGTTTTGAGATTACGAGTTTCTGTGAAATGGTCAACGTCTTTAGCTTAGGAAATGAAACCGAGAAGCGAAGTGGAAATTGAGGTATTAGGTTTCTTCTCTTTTGAAAATTTATTGCTTTAGATTGGTTCCTTTCGATATCTTCTACTGAGTTGAGAGATTACGTTTTCTTGGCGCTTTCTCGGGAACCAAACAAGGGTCGGTTTCAATCTCATGTCTTTACTTGTCGAAGATGTTCATTAAGCTGAAAATTAGGTTAAATTCCGGCGTGGGTACACACAGGAAGCCATTTTGATAGTGCTTGTAAAGCTATCGTTTCTTCCCAGGGTCTCTTTTGTGTTTCTTCATGTAGATTATGATATATGAGTTTTCTATGTAATGGCTCTCATCATTGGGTAAGCTTAGCCCTTTCCTTAAATGAGGGCTCAACTGCTCACTTGAATATTCGAACAGTTTCATTGTAAAACTGGTCTTAGAGAATTTATTTGACTGTGTTTTCTGTTTCATCCTTTTCATTCTTGCTCTGCGCAAAGAATAAACAAATCGAAGATGATTGCTTGTTTACGAGAATGAACTGGATGCATAGCGGTGACAAATGTTTTCATTTATCTTCTGAAAATTTGACTCAGGATTCTGTATGGTTGCAGCCGTCTGAGGACCCGGCAGAATCTAGCAAGATGAGTGAACAAAATGTTGATTGTGTACCTCTTAAAACATCAGAACCAGAGAATAATGTGGAGAATCCTGATGGTCTGCACCATGATGTAAGCAACAATGGTGTTTCCACTGTGAATGGAGTTTATAAGACACGTAAGGGCAAGGCGATATCCATACATCACGCTAGCGAAGTAGAACCAAACGCATTTGCTGAGTCTGGATCCAAGAGTTTTTCCACTAAAAACTCAGGATCACGTCCTGAAATTGTCCTGGGCCTTCCTAGCTGTAAACAATTTGAAACACAGCATACCAGAATGTTTAGGAACATGCGATTCGAAAAGAAAAGTCATGCACAGAGATCTTCTATGCGATGCGGGAGTGTTGTGAAATCTGGATCACAGGAGAAGGGTAAAGAAGCTGTTTATTCGGCTGTGGATGAGAAAAGGAAAAGGAATATGAGGAGTAAGAAAGGGAAAGGAAAAGAAGATGATGAGTATACAAGAATCAGAAGGAAATTGAGATACTTATTAAACCGGATAAACTATGAGCAAAGCCTAATCGATGCATATTCTTCAGAGGGCTGGAAAGGTTTAAGGTTTGTCTGTAACACCTCTCTTTCTTTAAGAACTAGTTATTTTGTTAAATTGATTGTCTATGAGAAATCAAAATCCCGGAAGATTAAACTCAAAATAGAAATGAGTGGAAACGAAGAATTCATGCGACGGTCTCAAATAAACTTGGGATTTAGGCGATGTTGATGTTGGTTTTGATCGTCTATGAAAGGCTGGTTTCTGACTTCATCTAATACTGATGATAAATTAAAGGATTATATTTCCAAGACTATCAGTTCTGTGATTATGTAAGTTAAAATGTTAAAATGTTGAAATGTGAAGATCTTGTGGTATATGGATCGAACTTCTCACTTTTCTATGAAGCTGGAGCTGTACTTACACAATAGATACACATGTAAAATACCTGGAATAATTTGTTTATGCTATGTCTATACTTTTATTTAAGCTTTAACTCTGTTTTGAGGCCTTTATATATGCTTTTCTTCTTTTGAGGTCAAGCTGTTTGTGTTCTTTGTAGCCTGGAAAAGCTAAGACCAGAGAAGGAGCTTGAACGAGCCACAAAGGAAATTTTGCGCTGCAAACTTAGAATAAGAGAACTTTTTCACCATCTTGGCTCGCTTGCTGCTGAAGGAAAACTTCCAGAGTCTTTATTTGACTCTGAAGGAGAGATTGACAGTGAGGATGTATGAGAAATTATCCATGCTACTCTGCTTTATGTCATGGCTTCTTCTGCAACTCATATGAAACGTTTTTACACGATCCTTTATGTCATGAATGATCCATGCTTCTTTGCATTAGCTGGTAAAACATCTTGCCTCTGCAGAACTGGGTGTGCTTATATGAGTAGTTCTTTAATTGCAGATATTCTGTGCAAAATGTGGTTCGAAAGATTTGTCTCGTGCTAATGATATCATACTCTGTGACGGTGTTTGTGACCGAGGATTCCATCAATTCTGTCTCGAACCACCCTTGCGGAAAGAAGATAGTAATCTCCTAGCTTTGTACTCGATAATGATCAGCAGTATTGCTAGTCTTTATAGCTAACTTCTTCGTTTTTTGCTTGTAGTTCCTCCAGGTGATGAGGGTTGGTTGTGTCCCGGGTGCGATTGTAAAGTTGACTGCATTGACTTGCTAAATGAATTGCTCGGGACAGAACATTCGATCAATGACTCTTGGAAGGTCAAAGAAAACAAATCCTTCCAACTTGCATTCTGTTTGTTGACGGCCTTTTTGTTTGTCATTGGGATAATATATTGTTAAGAGTGGGAAAGAAAATTAAAACAGTACCAGTGACTCATTGTGCAGAAAATATTTCCCGAGACAGCTGCTGGTGGTGATCAAAATCTGAACTTAGGTCTTCCTTCAGATGATTCGGATGACGATGATTACGCTCCAGATGGTCTTGATGATGATGAAAAGGGCGACGACGATGATGATCATCATCATAGTGATGACAACAAGGAGGCTGAGAGTGAAGAAAGTTCTGATGATTCTGAATTCACATCTGCATCTGATGAAATGGTTGGTGCATCTGAAGGTGTTCAGGACAGAAATCTTTCAACTGATGACTCTGAGGATGAAAACTATGATCCTGATGCCCTTAACCGTGATCCTGAGGATGAAAATGAAGAAAGTTCGAGTTCAGACTTCACATCAGATTCTGAGGATCTTGGTGCTCTCCTCACAGGCGATGGATCTTGTCAAGAGGATGAGGTTACAGCTTCTGGGGAACCTAGCAGAGAGAATTCTCAGCTCCATGGGAATAAGGAACAATCTGTTCAGGTTTCAGAGTCAGACTCTGGCAACGAGGCTGTCAGAGATGTTCCCCGGAGAAGGAGCACTGAAAGGCTTGACTACAAAAAGTTGTATGATGTGAGTTTTCTATCCTCTGTTTCCACTATTGAGGTTCTACTTGGTTTCCTTACTCGTGTCTCCATTATTCCAAGGCTTAGCTGAAATAAACCATGGACTGATAAAGTAATCATATTTCGTTCATTGTTTAGTGACATGAACCTTTAATCTAAAAGTACTACGCTTGCATTGCTTGAAACTATCAGGTTCTCCATTTGTCTTCTGTTTGTTGGGATCTCTTAGAAATTTATACATTCCGCCTTTGGTTGTGATCTTTTAAACAATAAAATCTTACTCTGAATATTCTTGTCCATGTTGCTGTTGAATGTACGAGTATAGCGTTGTAACTTGTAAGCTTGTCCATGAATTCAAAGAGCATATAAACTCTTCTACTTTATTCTTCTAATTTCAGTATTTGATAACCCAAAAGTTTTAGTGGGTTAATAGACTTTGGATATGCTAATGTTTTTTCGTTCCATTGTTGGTAACGTGGTATGTATAGGAGGCGTATGGGCATGTTCCATCCTCGTCAAGTGATGATGAAGATTGGGGTAACACAGCAAGAACTACAGACCACGATTCTGATTCAGAAGATGAAACCACCAACTGGAATGAAGAGGACAACGGGTCTTTGAAACAGTCTTCTCATGCAAATCATACCAGGAAACGAGAACAGAAGTCAAAAAGTGTGAAAAAGAGCGAAACTCAGATTACAGCAGAAGAAGTTGCTAATGAAAATGGCTCTCTTGGCGAAGAAAGCAAGTCTTCATCGGATCGAAAACTCAGAACTCTGGTAATGTGGAATGAATATTGAGCTTCATATGATAGTCTTGGTCTGTGATTGTGCTGGTCTGTGTAATTATGGGCACATGCATTTCCATAAAGAGATAAGATTTTCACACACAAATGCATGCAGCCACGGATTAAGCTATCAGTCATAGTCTATCTAAAGAATATGGTGGCTACTCCATGCTTAAATACGTTATCTTCGACGCAGAGGTTGTCAAAAGCCTTTCAAGAAAATAGATATCCTGATGTTGCCACAAAAGAGAACCTAGCCCGGGAGCTAGGGATGACGGTTACACAGGTAAAATCTCGGTCCTGGTGAATAAAATTATATATTTTTTTCTCCTCATGGTTCTGAAGCATAAGATTCGTTTGTTTTCCTTTCTGGTACGCTACATAGGTTAATAATTGGTTTAGGAACAGGCGTTCTTCAACGAGCACAGCTTTAATCAAAATGGTTTCAAAAGAGGACGTTGTGAAGTTAAGTACAAGTAAAGAAGCTCCGGGTGAGACATCGTTTACCAGATTTAGCCAACATGCAAGCGGAACCAAGTCTGGAGATGGCAAGAAGGCTCCGAGATCACGGAAAAGAAGAAGGTAGATTCAGTGAGAGGTTAGATATCATGTCAAGAATCAAGATAGATATAGTAGTAGTTGCAGTTCTGTTCACCACATGCAGGAAAGCTTGAGAAGGGATGTCTTGGAAGAGCTCCTCCAAGGGACGAAAGCTGTTGCTTTCACGACAAGAAAGGTACAAGCTCGGAACATCAGGATCTACATAGGTTTTTGTCTGATGGAATCATTGTTTCTTATGAGTTGGAAAATTTTGGATCGTATCCAGGATCCAGAAAGGTTGATGGGGCATTCTCATGTTCAGGTCTTTGTCTGGTTACTTGCATTGCAAGGTTTTGTAACTCCAGGACTTTATCACACCTGTCTTTTAAGGCTATTATTTTCATCTAGTCTTAGTTCCGTCTATTTTTTTTATAATCCGAAAATTCATCCAATCTTCGTCCCAATTACGTTTCGCAAAAAATCGAAGAAATTCAGGTGAATGTCTCTTTCTAAATAACGACTTAAATTTTAATTAATTTAATTGGAAATGGATTGTAGTCTATTGAAACGAAATGGTGGGTTTTGATTGTGGTTTGTTAAGGCAGATCGGTTTGGTTTTACCAAACCGGAAATTATGGTTAAAGTTTCTAATATGAAATCATTTGTTTTAAGAAATGGTGAAACCAATGATTTTAGGCTTATTCGGTTTGAAACGGAAAGATGCATCTGTTTAGATTCGGTTTGATATGAATAAATTGAACCAAATTGAATTAATTGTTAGGACAAATTTAAGTTAAACCAAGTCGCCATGTAACATATGAATGAGTGAACCGAAAACGAAGCCGAATTCTGTAGTGTTGGATTGGAACCTTAAAGAAACAAAATATTGGATAATGGGTTTATTATCATATTAAAATATTAAAATATGGGTTTTTGGCTAAGTGTGACAAAAAGATGACATGTTTAGAAATCAATACATTTTATTTCTATCCTTTGAAAACTATACCTTTTTATAAATTTTTGACAAAACTACCCTTACTTTATTGTATAATTTCAATATTGTCATTTAGCGTCCCGAAAAATGTGCAGTATAAAAAGCAGATTTTTTTTGGAAACTGTGTAATTCGGGAGAACTGTTTTTCATCCGAAAGAGTCTGTTTTTATCCGGAAAAACTGTTTTTTGTCTGGGAGAACTGTTTTTCGTCTGGGAGAGTCTGTTTTTTGTCCAGAAGAACTGTTTTTCGTCCGGGAGAGTCTGTTTTTTGTCTGGGAGAATTTTTTTTTTGTCCAAGAGAATTGTTTTTGTTCGGGAGAGTTTGTTTTTGTCCGGGAGAATCTTTTTTTTTTCCGGAAGAATTGTTTTTTGTCCGAGAGAATCTTTTTTTGTCCAGGAGAACTGTTTTTTGTCCGGGATGACTGTTTTTTGTCCGGAAAAATCTGTTTTTCGTTTGAAAAAGTTCGTTTTTTTTGTCCGGAAGAACTGTTTTTTTTTTCGAGAGAGTTGTTTTTGGTTTGGGAAAGTACGTTTTTGTCCGGATGAAAAATAATTCTCACTAAAAAAAATTGTTTTTCATATAAAAAACATTTTTTCTCGACGAAAACAATTCTCTCAAAAAAAATTATTCTCCTGGACGAAAATAGATTTTTTCGGATAAAAAACAGTTCTTTCGGATAAAAAAAGTCTTTCCCGAATGAAAAAACAATTCTTTCGGACGAGAAACACTTCTTCTTGATAAAAAAAAATTATTTTTTCGTATACAAAAACAGTTAAACCAAATAAAAATAGATTCTCACAGATGGAAAATAATTATCCCGGATTAAAAAAACAGTTTTCCGAGATAACACAGTTTTTCAATAAAATATATTTTTTATGCTGTAATTTTTTTGAAATGTTTAATGGCAATATTGAAATTATACAATAAAGTAAGGATATTTTTGTCAAAAAATTATAAAAATGTATAGTTTGCAAAAGTCAAAAAAAGGTATAGATTTCTTAAGTGTTCCTCTTAAAATATTTAATTCACATTTTGTAAATATGGTTTATATACTTCTTTTATGAAGATTATTGCACCAAGGAAAAATGCTATTGTTTTGTTACAGACCCAATATTTTATTATTTAATGCAATTTTTATAATGAATATTTTATGATTTAATACAATGTTTTTATAACTAATATTGGCCGAATTGTGTTTTTTCTCATTGATAATTTGTATAGAAAGGTGTGTTGTATCTTAGCCCAATAAGAAATAAACACCAAAAAGCCCACCAAAAAGCCCAAGATGTGTTTTTATTACAAAGCAAATATGGCGTCCCAATACACGAACGAAACGCATTCAAAGAAAGAACTGAAAAAAATGAACAAGGGGCTGAGAGTATACGGCGCCATTTTGAGGATGGTGAGGCTTTTGCCGGCGGACACGAGGCCGTACTACGCCAAGTACGCTCGCGAAAACTTCGTCAACTACAGGGAAGTCAACGAACACGACGATGTATCCGTCGAAGAGCTCTTTCATCGAGCCTACAATCACTCAATCTGGGTCCTCAAGAAGGTACGAAAAGCCGAAAACTTGATAGGATTGTTCTTGTTCTGTGCCCTTGAATTGCGGATTCTGAGAATTCTTTGTGTGTTGTTTCTGTTTTCTCCTATGCAGTATTCGGTTGACGAATCTGCGGCGAAGAAGATGAAAGAGATTTGCTTTGGATGATGGGTCTGTTTCAAGGTGCATGAACACCATGTGTTCGACGTTTTGTCCCTAAGAATATTGAACAAGTGAGTTCTCTTCATATTTTTTATACTATATTTTGCGTGTTACCAGTTTCATTTTTCATACTGTTTAAAAACTAGAAGATCGCTGAAATGTCCGACAAAGAGATGAAATTTAGAGTCAATCTCCGGCCATGCCACAAGACCAAAGTGTCTGTATGTAGCATATGCTTATGTGGGTAATGAGTGATTGATTGCTTTAGGGTTTTGCTTGTGTTTGTTAAAAATGATGTTTTTTCTTTGAATACATACTTATGATCTAAACTAAACTCTCTACACTGTTAACTTTTTTTATGTTAAAAATTGTAAAATGAAAGACAACAATTGATAACAATAATTATAGTTTTAAATAGTTCAGTAACTTATGACCGACCATTGGTCAATAAACCTGTCATAACTTTATAAAAAAAACTCCAAACGGTCTGAAACTTAAACCTTCAGAATTTAGAGGTCTAAGGCATCATTGGATGGAAGCGGATTGCTGGTGGCATGGATAGCGACGGGAAGATTAGTCTCAGACTCGGGGGCATTCGATCTTTGTTCCCGGGTGAATGAAGGACATGATGATGATGAAATGAGGGGATAGTTTATGATAAATTCTCAGACAAACCAAGAATGGAGGCGTCGGATACACCATCACCAATAGAACCGATAGACTCGGATACACCAAAGAAGATGTCAAAGAAGACTCACCAAATTTTATTCAATCCAAGTCTGATGTTTTTGGTCTACATACTCGAATTTAAATAGCAAAGAGGAGAAGAAATAAACAAGGAAAAGGGTTGAATCAAGCAGCCATGTGTAAGCTCACAAACTTGGCAACTTATGACACCTAGACAACGACTGCAATATGCAAGGAAAGAAGTTGATTTTCCCCTTGATGATGTAGGCAACGGCTAGCATGGGATTTGGCAAGAAATTTGCTGATTTTCCTTGTCATTTCCTTTCCTTTTTCGGCTGCATAGGTGGCTCCCCACTTGCCTTATTTGTTGTTATCATATCCCTGGATTTTTATTGATTGCAATGATGTGAAGAACTTGCCTAATTTGGATCCTTGATCAGTTGATTGAAGCTTGTGATTTGTCTACCGTCTTTGATAGTTTTGGTCCAAAAAGGGAAGTTTTAATCATGAACCAACTTCAAGTGTTGGACAACAATAGGTTAAAAAGGGTGCGTGTTTTGGTCGATGTTGATCCTTGCATCGTCCAGGCTTGATCCATCAGTCGTCTTGTCTATTCATTGCTCCAAGAATATATTGATCCTTGATTGTACATTGCGTGCTCTAGCTCGTGTACGAGCAGCTTGAGCTGGGAATGGACGACAAGGTTTCGTCAGGGACAACTTCTTCTGTGATATCGCTTCCGGATGCATTGTGAGGTGCGTTGGTTTTGGTTATATTCCCATCTGTGGTTCGCCTGCTCATCTGTTTGTCGTCCCTCTTGTCTAAGTCATTGTTCTCCCGTTCTACATCATTATCCACGACTTTGACCTTGTCCTTTATGCTCGTCCCGTGCCTAGTCACCTCTGCCGCATCGTTGACCTTGTCGATTGGCTTGAGGGTTGCACTACCCCTCTCCCTTACGAAGGTTTTGTCCACAAAACTGAGTTGCCTACATCAAAGAGACCAAGTCAGCATTATTAAACATGTAAGCCATATTACATGTACCTAGGTTATTCGCTTCATTCTTGTATTTCTCATGTGCGTGAGACACTGGCTTTCGTGCCTCTCCTTGTTCAAAGGGTTCGTCTTTGTTGGTCTCTATGGATATTAAAGTTAATGTGCTCCTTGAATCTCTTAAGAATCGGTGGTAAGGATCACTGGTTCCATGTCGACTTTGAGGTCCGATGATGCTTGCCTTGATCTTCTCTTTGTTACGACATACTACCTACAGGCTGATAGAGAAGTCTAGGATAACAAACAAGTTAGTGTAGCATGTGCATTCTTTGAGATTTTCAACAAGGTGTTTATTTCGAGACGTCCAAATTATCGACTCAAAATGCACACAATATTAATTGAAACAATGTTTGCAAATAAAAATAAAGATAAAATGTTACCATATAAGACTCTTTAACACAAGTAACATAAGCCAGATGTGTGTGCTTGAGGCATTGAGTGACAACTCCGGAGGTGTAAGATGTTCTCTTTGATGCTCTTTCTTTCGATTAGATATCTCTTAAGTAGTAAGATCGTCTTGAAAGGATGTTGTGGGACACCTATTCCATCATGATCAACATACTCGTCAAATCACCATTAACTTTCAAGTATAGTAGAAATCGTTGCTTCACAATTGGGGTTCCAAAAATGATTTTCCCGATAATTTGTCTAGCTTTTATAGATGTAACATCACATATTTTTCAATGATTGTAGTGTCCATTTCAACTTTGGATCAATCTCCTTTTGATTATAAGGACAAAATCTAGAGAAACGAGAATTTTAGTGCAAGGAATGCGACCTTGAGATTATCGTAGTAGCCTTCTTTTCAGAAAATCTCCGTTGGTTGTTCAAGTTGCATATATAATAGAAAAAATAATAGGAACGAAGTTACTGTTTGTTGTTACTAGTTTATGATTTATGTTTCGTGTGCCGGTGTCACAGCACTGATGTCAATTGTCCTTGCAAATGTTTTTTTTTCATAATCTTGAAACCCTCGTTTGCCTTCTCAAATGTGTCTTCTATTTGCTTGAATAGGTTCCACAATGTCTCTTTCGAATTTGTGTGAATTTTGTTCCACGTCCATGTTTCCTAGCATTTCATTTGTGTCTCCATCCCTTGGCGTCTTTTCCGAGTCTTTGCATCCATCCGCATTCCATATTACATACACTTTCGGACAGTTCTCGTACACTATCATACAAGTTTCATGCACTCTCGGACAATTTGTGTCCTGGACGAGCTTCCTACATGGCTCCCGTATACTCCTAGACGAGTTTTGTGTTCTCGAACGGTTTCTCGAACACTCTCACGAACGAGTTTCGTACATTCTAGATAGTTCTCGTATATTCTCGACCAATTTCTTACACCCCTAGATTATTCTCGTATATCTTCGGATGAGTTCATGTATTCCCGTACGAGTTTTCATTGCCATACAGTTCCGTACATTCTCGAACTAGTTTTGTTCACTCTTGGATTATTTTCGACATCTGCTGCACGAGGACCGGACGAATCACGAAAAAAAAAAACAATTTAGAAAAATTAAAAAATGTAATGATATCTTCAACATTGCAAATTGTTCCCTTCTAATTGTTGCCTTAGAATCAATTTGGGATCGGGATCATGTAACTAACTATAAGGGAAAAATCGATATTAATGCATAATTTATGGAAAATTTGATATCATTCCAAAATTTTATATTAATACATCATTTAAACATATAAAATTCCAGAATATTATAAAATAATCAAAATGCCTTTAACAAAATTACTGAGTCCATGATTGAAAGATGACGTGACGCTTCGAAAATAAAATAAGATGACATGTTACGTAATACGAGCATAAAAATAGAAAAAAAATGATATATCAAGTAATTACACGTATATTTACTATATTTAAAAATTCATTTGTTATAGATAAACTTGTATTAATATGGATTTTTACTAAATGCAACCAAGAGGGGAGTGGCAGTATGGTAATAACGGAACAAACAATGGGTTTTTTGGTTAGTAAATCTAAGTGACAAACAACTACCTAGGTCTAGGTGTCGGAGGTCTTTTAACTCTCCTTCCCATGAACTGAAACAACTGCCGTAACATAATTGCTTTTTTTTTAAAAAAAAAAAAAAATTAACCTTCGTTAATTACCTTTTTTTACGCAATAAAAAATATTGTTATGCCTTTATAGTTGAAGTTGTATTAATAATTATCATTTATTAGTGATCAACTCGTGCAGCTAATTTTGTTTTCAATTCTCTCCCCCACATGTTTATAATTTCGGTATAAAAAAAGCTTCTGCCCCCTTAGTCTTTTGCATGAAATTGTAATAAAAAGAACAAATTTTGCTTGTGAAGTTAAAAATAAATATCTTGTTCTAATATTAATATGCTATATTCTTTTCAGAGCGGACGAAATATAGTGTATTTTTTTCATATATATATATATATATATATTAAATGCGCAATTTATGATGGAACTTCCTAAAAACGAATGCAGCAGAAACGAAACGTTGCTTCGGGGAAATCGAAAACCCTACAGGTTTCTCGGGCCAGGTGTCTTTGACTGTAGTCTTTTTTTTTTTGGAAATTTTAAATTCTATTTTTACCCCCCAAAAATTTTACCTCAAACAAAATCATATATATATATATATAATGAATGTGTATCGATTAGCAACCTTAGACCGAGGAAAGAGATTTTATATTTTATGTAATTGTTGACAAAATTAGCAAATAATTATTTCTGTTATTTGGGTCAGTTAAATCTTATACTTGCATGAACTTATATTAATATCAGTACTTTTGAAAATTTTCACATTTGGATCATATGTGGGTTGGCTAGGGTTCTTAATTTATGTGGAATATTTGGGATTTTGTATAACGAAATGGACGTTTAAGAAAAGTTATAATCAAGAAAAAAATAATTTTTTTCTATATCATTTTATTTAATATACAATATTTAGAATTAGTTTATGTAGAAACAAAATTAAACAATAAATGTATAGGAATAAATTGATATATATAAATATATGTATGTTTGATTTGTTCAAGCAAAATACGGATTTCAATCGAAATTATTGAAGAATATAAATACGAAATATATGTGACACATCACTTATTCAGTCTCTCTTAAATTCTTTATCCTAACCTTTTTAAATGTTTTCGATAGAAGGAAATAATATTTTTTTTTAACATTTTCTCAACATACATATTTACGAAAATGAACAAATATATATACATATATGTATGTATTTTCCTCTTGGCTTCTATTGTTTTTCATTTACTCTTGTCACTGTCTCTTCCACAAAATAAACAAACTGCCATGGGAGACACGGCGGAGGAAGACGACGGAGCTCACGCAGAATCCGTCAGCTTCTCTCAGCTTCTTCTGTCCGACGACGTCGTTTTCACCACCGACAGCAGCAAACACCGCGACGACAGTGATGGAGACGTCGCCGGAGAAGATGCGTTGGGGTTCAGATTCTCCGGCGGTGACGGCAGTGGGCCCCGCATGCTGTGTTTTGGGGGAGAGTATCAAAACGACGCCGAATTGCTCTTCACTGATTCACCCGTTCCTTCCACATGCAATATCAAGAACGGGGACAAGATCAACGATGATCCAACGATGGATAAATCAACCAAATCCAACGTAATACATACATATAAGTATATATATACATATATACATATATATATATATATATAATTGTGGATTTCCGGGCACAGTGTCTTGCATGCAAACACGTATTTTTCATAGAAGTTAAATATTATTTTTGTTTAATTTTAAATTTTTCTTTGCGTAGAAGAAGAGAACCGAGCCGAATATGGGTTGTGATAGGAAACCCGTGAAGAAATCCAAAAGAGATCAGAACAAATCATCACTTGGAAAGGCAAAGGTTTGCAATATATATATATATATGTATGTATGTATGCATGTATATATGTATATATTAAACTTCATACTTTAAATTTTGGATGTATGTATTTATAAACTTGCTTTGAGTAAACACATTAATTGCATTTTTAAATTTCATAGGTAAGGAAAGAAAAACTTGGTGAAAAAATAGCAACACTGCAGCAGCTGGTTTCTCCATATGGCAAGGTTATTTTATTAAATTTCTCAATTTTTTTGTATTATGTTTTCTTATTCCCCATTACTATATGAAGATAAGTTTAGGAGTTGTAAGACCACATTACACATTAGAATAATTGATAAAATTCTTTTATAAAAAATAATATTTTTTTGGAACATCAGACCGATACAGCATCAGTGTTGCATGAAGCAATGGGTTACATCAAGTTCTTGCAAGACCAAGTTCAAGTCCTCTGTTCTCCTTACCTCATTCCTCATTCTCATGTAAGTTTTTCAGTTATTTTTCATATCAATCTTTTAAATTTAACTTTTTTTGGGTAAAAATAATTTTAATTTTACTGTATTTTTTTTTTTCAAATTTATCACAACCTTTCGTTTGTATGATGTGTCAACATCAAGGGAAAACTCTGGGCCTTTTGACGAAAAATTCAATTTTTGTTTTTTTATTAGTTTTTCGGAATTTTCATTTTTTGTAAATATTGTTGTTTGTTAGTCTAACCATTTTTTATATTAAATTTTATTTATTTTTATTCATTTTTCGGTTTGTATTTAGTTTGGTTTTTATGTGAGCTTTACGTCTACATGATATGATCGAATTTATTAAATATTTATTAAAAAATTATTTGATTTTATTTATTTTATTTTATATTCAATATTTGATTTTACAAAATTTATATCCACTCATGAATTATATTAAATATTAATTTTTACTTAAAGTTGATTATATATTATTCCGTTGCACTTATATATTAAAATCAAATATCCACCAATAAATTTTATAATAACACTACTAATTATTAGGTTGAAAACAATTTTTTTACACAATAACAAAAGGAAATGATATGTTTAAAAAGTAGCAATTGTTTAGTTTTAGTGCAAAAGAAATTGTTTTTACATGAATGTTTTCACTCGAAGTTGACTGTCAGTTAAGTACTCTTTGACGTAGCTGACGTGGCAGAACGATGGGGATATTGTTGGAGACCAAAAGTCGAAGAAGAAAGACCTAAGAAGTAGGGGGTTGTGTTTGGTCCCTGTATCCTGCACCGTACACGTGGCAAATTCCAACGGTGCCGATTTCTGGTCACCTGTGACGTGTCACAACAGCTTGTCAGCCTCGATGAATCAGTGAAAGGGACAGTAAATTTTCCCCTGAAAATGACCATTTGTTTACTGTTTTAGTCAAAGCGTTTTGTCTTTTTTTGTAAACCCATTGCCACATGGGCAGCTGTGGGGCCTGCATAGTTGGGGGTTGTATATTTTGGTTTCATTCTAAGGTCGATAATCGGGTCAAGCATATCGTATCGATATAAAAAGGGTAGAATTTTGTTTTTTTTTTATTCCGAATAGACGAAGTGAAATTGTGTTTCTTTTTTATAACTCGTAAGTTCGTCAAATTTTCGTATGATTACATCTCTCGAGATTCGGAGGTAACCTTTTGAATCGCAGTTAAATCATATATTTCCTCTCCTACTATTCGGATGAGATAAAAGTTTTCTACTGTTTTCAAGCGTCTACACCACTCGACCAACACGGTCGGGATTTGGTTTGTTTTTTGTTGAATAGAGATGGGAATTGCGAAGCAGGGTTCCAACTGTTTTGTTGCTTGTGAGATCACAATGTAGATACCGAAAGACTAGGTTTTGTGTTTTTTTAGGGTTTCATTTCAACAGAGTTTGAATTTAGGGTTTAATGCTTTGGAGGTACATAAACCCTAAATGGTAAATTGAATCAAAATCATTATTATTTGATTAAGCTTTACCAAAATCAAGTTGAGCGAAGAAATTTTGTGACCCAGTCTGAGTTCAACCAACAAAATTAGCCCAATTCGCCCCATCTATATTTTCAGGGTTCAGCTTTAGGACATAGATATATAGTAGATAAATACTAAAAAAAATTATGTTAAATTGTTATTATATTCTCGGTATATTTTATTTCCAAATATTAGTTAAAAACCTTTTGAAAATAACCGTTCAACAGTTTTTTTTCTTATTTAGGTTTTATTATAATATATTTTAATCTTTAAAATGTCTCTTCTTTCTATTATTGATATATTCGCGTAGTGCCAACAATTTGGATCGAATTTTAAATAAAATCAAATAAGATCGAAGAATCGATCCTACTCACAATCAAAATCTTCGTATCTTGATGATTCCACTGAGGATTGAAGAAGAGGAAGAAGAAGGATTTCACCAACTTCTTGGAGAATACAGGAAAAGTGGAGGAAGAAGAAGAATGCGAGGGAATACAAATTCGAACGTTGCACTAAACCGGGATCCTAACCTTGCTTATATAGCTAAATTGCATCCCGGTACAATCCCGGTTTAGACGAAGCAGTCCGGTTAAGTTTGATTCAATAAACCCTCCGAATCAACAAGCATCTTCCATAGACTTTCTAATTCAGTTCAGTCATTCCTTCGCCCGTGTTTAGTTCGAGCTTTGTCAAACCTCCATCAGAGGCTACTTAGCCTGCCTAATGTTTCATATTTGCCATTTCCCCAATAATATTGTATCACTCGAAATCATATTTTTACTATTGTCTGAAATATCATTTTAACTTTTTTCTTCTAATATTATAGACGGTTGTATATTTTAGAGTAAAAAGGTTGGCAATAATAATCTCTCAAGAGATTCATAGTTATATATATTACGAATGTGGTGCAGAAGCTAAATGTTCGTAAATGATATAATATGAATCAATAAAACATGTTTTTGTTTTGGCAGTAAAACGCGTCAGGGGTATCTCGGTTGGAGTCAGTTGTAACTCAGACCGCGAGTGCGTCAGTGGTAACTCGACAAAAGTCAGTTGTAACTCGGTCTGAGTCAGTTTTCTGAAAACGAAAAGATGTGATTCTTCGCTTGAAAACTGTCACATTTTACAACTTTTGATGATATCTTTTAGTGTTTTATATATAGAAGACGTCAGAACAAGTTGTAAAAACGAGATCTAACCCAAATTTGAGAGATTTTGAGTGAAATTGTTCTTGCAAATCAATCAAAAAGTGTTGTGTTCACCTTTTTCTACACAAGTTTCTTGTCTTGGTGATTGTTGTAGAGCAAAACAAAATCACTGTCTCTTCTTTGTATCTCATAAACGTGTTTCGGTATCCCGTTTACTCATTTGGGATGAAATAACGTTTTCGGAAAATGATCCTCATGTCTAGAAGAGTTATCCAGTTCCCATTCTTTTCATATCCATTTCTCCAAATTAAAATTGGAATTGGCTCAATTCGCTGAAAGAGTTTTTTGAGAAAATAGAATTGCTTCAATAAATCGAAAACGTTATTTTTGGGATGACTACTTCTGTGAGGGATCTGACCATCAATTTTCACAAACTCGATAAACTCGAGGGTGTGGGATTTCGAAGGTGGTAAAAGAAGATGCATTTTCTGTTGATGATGCTGAACGTCGTCTACGTGATAAACACACCCAGGCCAGAAGAGACCGAAGAGGAAACCTTGGCGCAAACACGTATACGGAACAAATGGGACAACGACAACTACGTTTGCTGCGATCACATTCTGAACGGTATGTCCGATACTCTGTTTGATGTTTATCAACACATAGAAACTGCAAAAGAGTTGTGGAATTCACTGGAGGCAAAATATTTCTCCGAAGATGCCTCTAGTAAAAGATTTCTTGTAAGCAACTTCAATGCTTATAAGATGGTTGATTCAAGATCGGTCGTGAAGCAATTCCATGAACTACAAAGGATCTTGAGTCAATTCGCACAACACAAATTAACTATGGATGAAACCATAAAGGTCTCGTCCATTGTTGACAAACTTCCACCGAGTTGGAAGGATGTGAAGCGTTCCCTGAAACACAAAAAAAGATATGACCTCTTGAACAATTGGGAACGCATCTTCACATCGAAGAGGATCTTCGAATGCAAGATGGGAAACGAGCACTAGTTTCCCCGTCTTCCATGGTTAACATTGTAGAAGATGAGAAACGGGGTGCAAAAAGACCGAACAAAAACTCCTCCAAGGGGAACCCGAAGAAGAAAACAAAGTTGAACATGAATTGTTGGTTTTGTAACAAACCGGGACACTTCAAGAAGGAATGCTACTCATGGAAGAGTAAATACGGGAAAAAGAGTGTTCATGGTCAAGGGAATCAAAACCTCGACCAAGCCAATCAAGGTAACCGTGATTGTTTTTTGACAATTCTGTAATGAATTTTGTTGCTATGATTTATGAATTAAATCATGTACAGGAGGTTGGTGAATCATGGTGGATCGATTCGGGAGCGACTAGACACATATGTAAAGATCGTGGACTCCTCAAGACTTTCGAAGTTGTGGAAGAAGGGAGCGTTCTTTTTATGGGAAATGATTCTACGGTTAATGTTCTAGGGAAAGAACAAGTAGAGTTATTTTTACGTCTGGGAAAACTTTAACTCTTCGCAATATTTTGTACGCTTCGGATGTAAGGAGAAATCTTGTGTCGGATAGTGTTCTCAATCAGTTTGGATTCAAGATGGTCTTTGAGGCCGATAGGTTTATTCTTTCCAAAGGTGGTGTGTTTGTGGGACAATGGTATCTATGTAATGATATGTTCAAACTCATCATTAACAATAATAAAAATCACAATTCTTTGTATGTCATTGATGTTAATGTTTCTATGTTGTGGCATACTAGACTAGGACATGTACATTATAAACGTATTAATCTTATGTCGAAAATGGATTTAATTCCACCATACACGTTGAATGATGAAAAATGTATTACATGCATAAAAACAAAAATAACACGTCGTTCATTTCCTAGCATAGAACGGAGTTCAAAAATATTGGAACCAATACATAGTGATCTATGTGACTTGCATAGTATACCATCTTTAGGAAATAAGAAGTACGTAGTAACATTTATGGAGGATTCTACTCGATTTTGCTACGTATTTTTGTTGCATTCAAAGGATGAAGCTCTTGATAGGTTTAGAGCATATAAATCCGAGGTTGAGTTATATCTCGGGGTTAAGCTAAAGAAGCTTAGGACCGATAAGGGAGGAGAATACTATGATCCTGAGTATTTTGAATCCATAGGCTATAGCGAGTTCCGACTCTGAGAAATGGCACGAGACTATGAAGTCTGAGATGCAATCCATGTACGACAACAAAGTATGAACTTTGGTCGATGCATCCGAAGGGGTAAAACCCATCGGATTTAAGTGGGTTTTCACGAACTCGTCCGTCGTGATGCTTAAATCCATCAAGATTATGCTTGCCATAACTGCATATTATGACTACGAGATATGACAAATGGATGTCAAGACTGCGTTCCTTAAGGGGAACCTACTCGAGGATGTGTATATGATACAACCCGAGGGTTTTGTCGATCCAGAGAGTCCGGGGAAGGTGTGCAAGCTTCAGAGGTCCATTTATGGACTGAAGCAAGTTTCAAGGAGAGCTGCAATCTTCGATTTGATGAGACAATCAAACGTTTGGTTTCTCTCAAAACGAGGATGAACCATGTGTTTACAAGAAGGCCAGTGGGAGCACAGTTGTTTTCATGGTGCTATACGTGGATGATATCCTGCTCATAGGAAACGATGTTCCTACCTTGCAAGACGTTAAGTCTTGGCTAGGAGCACAGTTTTCTATGAAGGACTTAGGGGAAGCTGCCTATGTCCTAGGCATCAAGATATATAGAGATAGATTTTGTAAGCTTCTTGCACTAAGTCAGAGTACATACATCGACAAAGTTCTGAATCGGTTCAGAATGCAAGAGTCAAAGAGAGGACTCTTGCCGATGTGTCATGGTGTTGTTCTCAGCAAGACTCAGTGTCCTAAGACACGTGATGAACGAGAACGTATGAATAGGATCCCATATGCTTCGACAATAGGATCTATCATGTATGCCATGTTATGTACTAGGCCGGATGTATCGTACGCGTTAAGCATTACGATCAGATACCAGTCGGATCCAGGAGAGTCACACTGGATCGCGGTCAAGAATATCCTTAAGTACTTGAGAAGGACTAATGATTTATTCTTGATATATGGTGGATTGGAAGACGAGCTCGCTGTAAAGGGTTACACTGATGCTAGTTTCCAATCGGACCAAGATTACTACAGATCGCAATCAGGCTATATCTTCTGCTTGAATGGAGGCGCCGTTAGTTGGAAGATTCCAAACAGGCCACCATAACAGATTCTACTACAGAGGCTGAGTACATTGTCGTATCGGATGCAGCAAAGGAAGCTGTTTGGATCAGGAAGTTTTTGGGTGACCTGGGCGTCGTTCCTAGCGTTGTTAACCCCATTGCGTTATACTGTGATAACAATGGGGCGATAGCACAAGGTAAGGAACCTAGGTCACATCAACGATCCAAACAC